CTCACGCAACAATACATTAAGCTAACAATTCAAAACAATCTTTATAATAAAAGCTAAATAATAAAAAATAAAATTTAAAGTTGTAATAAAATTAGTTATATTAAACATTCCAATCAATACTGTAAAACAATGTTATATTATTTAGTAACAGTATAACATTCTTACATTAATCATTTAATATCAGTATAATATTCTGACGTTAATAATTTGATGTCAGTATAAGAATTTTGTTAATCATTTAATGTTAGTATTACATTCTTACAATAATCATTTGATGTCAGTATAACATTCTTACAATAATCATTTGATGTCAGTATAACATTCTTACATTATTTTATAGCAGAATAAATTCATCCAGTAATTAAAGGCATTATAACATTCTTACATTATTTTATAGCAGAATAAATTCATCCAGTAATTAAAGGCATTATAACATTCTTTCATTAATTATTTTAAAATATATGTGAGAAATTACTTGAACTTTCTTGTTAACATTTATTTAAAATCAACTTGTATAATATTTTGATCTAATGATAGCCACGAAGAAACTGATTTTGGGAACCACATTATTTAATGTTTTCTTCTTTATTAGCTTGCTAAGTCAGTAAATAATTTAAATGGAATTAGTGGACGTTGTTCATTTGTCTTTCCTCCAAGGTTACCTGTTTATTTCTGTATTGATCAGAGCCAACAATGAACAATTAAAACTGATTGTCCAGTCAATTAAGAATGACCTGTGTTCTCGAAACCCCATTCACGTCAATCTTGCTCTGCAGTGCATCACTAACATAGGTAGTAAGGAGATGGACGAAACTTTCGGACCTGAAATTCCAGAACTGCTAGTCTCTGGGTGAGTGCACTTTTCATTTAGCTTGAATTACAGTTTACAGGATGTAATTAAGTCTGGGAAAGCCAAAGATACATTTACAACAGAAGAACATAGCACACAAGCTTACAGATTAAGTATATTTTATACTGAGAAATTACAGCCAGGTTTTAGGTGTCAAACTCTAATACTCCTACTCTATGGATATCTTGGTCACACAGTTGAGTTACTTATGTTCAATTTATGATTTTTAAACCAAACCTTCATATGGCTCTGTACTGTCTGTAGCTTTCTATTAAAAACAGTTTTATTTCAGTTCATTTTAAGACATATAACATCTTAGTACTTCAATGCAAGTCAAAGGTTCAGTTCAGCAAATTACATAAAATATAAATTAAAAGAAATTATAATCAACTTTTTTTTTGTATTTCTGATATTATGAATTTTCTGCTTTAGAACTGGAAGAAAAAAATCTAGTAGGAGAGTCATAGGTTCATGCTTGAACATGTACGATATTTCATATCTGCATTTTAAAACTTGGCTTTTAAATAATTGGTCAGTAATTTGCCCTATTGGAAACATTTCTACAAGTTTTGCCTCGGTGTTCCATGAAAAGATGAATTTGTACTTAATTGGTCAAATCCTTGCAATAATAAACTTGTATGTAGTATCTGTCTAAATATTTAATGAAATGAGCAGTTTGTATGTTAACTGGTCTGTAATTTTCATCATTAGAACATGATTTAAAAGTTCAGTGTTTACTTGTCATACTAGCACTAAACAGTGTAAATAATTAGTATCCCAAGATACCCTAGAATACAATAGAGCATGTAGAGTCATCTGGATTTTATGCACTGGGACCCAAAGTAGCAAAAAGTTTCATTTTCTGTTCTCACTTCTCACAAAATTACAATTTTATGTTATTTAAGAAATAGTTTATATAGTCATCTATTTTAAATGAACTTTTCAATAAATCTTTGTAATGTTATGATATAGTTGTTTGTAGTTTTGTGAAACATACATGGTACAAGTATGTTTGTTATTCTGAGTTATAGTATTTGATGTTTGATTTAAATGAATAACAATACCATAATAATACAAATATTCATACAGTTAAGTCATTTGGTTCTTAACCAAAAATGGATTATTTTTCTTACCTTATAACTTTGTTTCTACTTGGATAATCTCAGGATAAAGATAGTGGTTGTTCAAGTACAAATTACCCTGTGTTACAATTATCTATTATCTTCTCCGTGTTATAATGTAACATGTTATAATTATCCGTCATTTTTGTTATAATTATTTGTTGTCTACCCTGTGTTCTAGTTGTGTAACTTGTTATAATTATCTGTCATCTGTATTAAAATACAGGGTAGAAAACAAAAAATTATAATTACTTGTTTTCTATCCTGTATTATAATTATCTGTTCTCTACCTTATGTAATAATTACTTGTTTTCTATCCTGTATTATAATTACTTGTTCTCTACCTTGTGTTATAATTACTTGTTTTCTATCCTGTGTTATAATTATTAGTTCTCAAGTTTCTTTTCGAAGAAACAAACATTGTTCAACTATTTCTTACTCTTTTTAAAAAAAAAAAAACGTTAACTAACTTTCAAGTTTTTGTAGTCATTTAAAATAAACTAAAACATTGAATTATTAAAATACTTAATTCATACTTTGATAAGGACAAAAAAAATCATCTTTAGTTTGGTATTTACAGTTTATGTTCTCCTTAGATTGTAACATCGTCATACACAGATCTGCAAGACTAACTATTATATTGTCCCTGCTCCCTGGCTATCTGTGAAGCTTTTGAGGTTTCTTCAGAATTATTCAGTACTTGGTGAGTTCTAATTATCTCATGTTGTCAACCTAATGTTTGTTTTCAGAATGTCATACCGTAGTAATTAGGATTGCTAGTAGTCTACAAAATCACTGGACAAAAGTTGCTTTTAGAAATATCCTCAGTGTAACTTGCACTTTGCTTAAATGTAGTTTCACAAGAGGTTGAATTAACGATTGGTATTTATCTTCATTGGTGCATATAGTTGTAAAGAAAGCTTCTCATTGATGAGGATCATTTAAAAAAAACTATTTTAATAGCTTCAAAAAAAGCTTTTCATTGTTACATATAGTTTTAAATAAAATTTGAGCCAAGTCTGCCTTATCAATTCCTTTTAGTGTTACATACTATTTTACTTAAGATGTTGCTGAGCTACTTCATACAGTTAAACCTAAGACTTTACAACCTCTTTTTCCACAATGGATGAAAATGTATGTGATGACCCTTGTTATACCTTGTATAACAGTTTTCACTAAGGTTACTTTTGCTTCCCTTCTCCAAGGGTCAATATTTGTGACAGGATGACAACTTATTGGCACTGAAGTCCGTTGGAAAGGTTTGCCTTGATGCCATAAGTTATTGCCATCTATTCTGTATAGAAATTGTATGTTCTACTTTTCAAAATGTATGCATTACGTGATTTTATAATTGTGAAGTAGGAGAACTTTGTATCATACTAAAAGGGATCAGTTTTAGGTGCCAGCTATTCTTGCATGTTATCACAGTTCAACTGGTCAAGGCTTGTATTCTTTGTGGTCTAGGCCTTGGAGATGTACAGGAGTAAGATGAGTGAGTCAAGAAGAACCTTCTGTAAAATTTACCATAGCAGATACACCTAAAACAGTCTGAAGCAGCTCAGCAACATCTGTAGTAAAATAGTATTTAATATTACAAAAAAGTGCTAAGGCAGAATTGGCTGAAATGAACAATTCACCTAAATCCTAAATTTCTGGCCCTTGAATCATACCTGCATTGCACATGTAGGTTGCATTTCAGGTATTTAATTTATTTTTACCTGTCACTTGCTCATAATTTATATACCATCTTCACATCATAGAAAACAATTATATTATTCCCGTTAATGTTTTTAAGTTTTTACTTTAAATGCACTTTAGTAGTAAAATTTTCTATTATAGCATACAAGATTTAATATGAAATAGTATATCTACAGTTTAGGTTTATTCTACAGTCATGTGTACTTTATGTTAATCACAAAAAAAAGTAGTAGATTCTTGGTTTTTCTGCTCACATTACACCACAGGTGTAATTAACAATAGAGTAAAATATGATGTAAAAAGTGTTAATTGTGGGGACTTGGTGGTTATAGAAATTGACTCTCAATCTGATGGTCATCGGATCAAAATCTGACACCACATAGGCTCATTTTAGCCATGGAAGCATTATAACATGATAGTCAATCCTACTATTAGTTAATATAGAGTAGCCCAAGAATTGGCAATGTGTGCTGCTAACCAGTTGCCTTTTCACTGTTCAACATTTCAAAATTAAGGATAACCACAGATAGTCTTAGTAGCTTGGCCTTAAAAAAACAAATACTTAATTGTGGGTAGATTTCATTTTCATGATGTTTTACCATTTCCTAGAGGATCCTGGAGTTCTAGGATGGTTGACAGTGTCTAGAAACCACTTTAAATTGAGCCCAAGAACCTCCAAAATCATTACTCCAAAAATGCTGTTCTGTTTGAAGCAATTAGCCTCATCATACACATGGACAGGTAAGAGTACTACTATTGTCCAGAAAATTCCTCAGTTCTTGAAAAAAGGACTGCATCTAAGGAAACGAATTATGTTCTTAACAGAAACTGATGATTTAGTTTTGTACTACTTTCTAAGGTCTGATATATAACCATTACAATTTTGAATATGTATGAACAAAATAATTTTCCTAAATAACTTGCATTTTGTATGTTTCTACCTGTTAGAAATTTGTAAAATATGATATAATACAACTTGATAAACTATACCACACACACACACACACACACACACACACACACACACACACACACACACACACACACACACACACACACACACACACACACACACACACACACACACACACACACACACACACACACACACAC